GGAGGCAGATCTTTCAGTTATCAGGCTCCTCTCTTGTGGAACCAACTGCCAGTCTCTGTCTTTGAGGCTGACACATTGTCCAGTTTTAAAACTAGTCTTAAGACTTTCCTTTTTGATAAATCCTATAGTTAGGGTCGGCTTGGGTTTCCTGAGCTGTCCCTTAGTTATGCTGCTATAGGCTTAGACTGCTGGAGAACTGACCACAATTTTCTCTCTGCTACTGTCTTTACTTACTCTGCTCAACCTGTTTTGTATTTGTAATTATTTTTTCTATCCTGACATGTGTTTTTTTATCTTTCAGGTACACCTGGACCTATACCTGGACCTGGACCTATACCTGGACCTACCACTCTGTGTTTGTCTGTCTCTCCTTCCTGTCCTCTCAACCAGCCGGTCAAAGCAGATGGTCTCTTGTCCTGAGCTGGTTCTGCTGGAGGTTTCTTCCTGTTAAAGGGAGTTTTTCTTTCCACTGTCTACACTGTGCTTGCTCAGGATGGGAGACTGCAACGAAGCCAAGATTCATCTTGTCTGCTGGATTCCTTAGATAGAGAACTTTACTAATTGGCTTTTATGTGAATGTTCCTGTAAAGTCCCTGAGACAACTTTGTTGTGATTTGGTGCTTTATAAATAAACTGAATTGAAGTGAACTAATAAGCCTAACACAACTAACACTTAATGAACACAGAAACTAAGTCAACAAGAACATACTAATCCAGGGGTCTGCAACCTGCAGCTCTGGAGCTGCATGCGGCTGTAGTGAACTTAATCTGAGGTCAAGACTAAGCCTAAGGTCAAAACTCTTGACCTTAAGAACCTTGTGGGACAGGAACTGTCATTTCGTTGATTTGAATCCAGAAATACATGTTCACCCATCCTGAGACTTTCTTTCTTGAAAATTCAAGTGAAAGAACACTCTCTTTTTATTATCATTACTATTTTACAAATGTTGATAATCAAAGTGTCTTAGTTCAAACCATTTTAGATGTTGCAGTGAACTAATCAATTTTATTAACTGTGTAATGATTTTTAATTCTCATGCAAAGTTAGAACTCATGTTAAAGCTGTTACAGAGTAATTATGCATTTTCTGATTTCTGTCTGTGAATGAGCAAAGTGTGCGTTCCAGGGTCAGGAGTCGAAGCAGACATGCGTTGGAACAACTGTCCTGTTTATATCCTCTCAGACGTCAACAGGGGGGTTTTGGCACCTGTTTCTTAAACTCGCCAAAACAAAACTCTCTCTGTCTGTGAGAACATTTCTGATCTGTTCCATAACAATTCTTGCTGCCTTCTAACCTTTTACGTCACAAAACACACCCCGTCTGGTCGGTTCTGGCCAATGGGGAGACTCCCGAATGAACCGGGAAAAGGGCTCTTTAAAATGTCGGTACTTCCTGGTCTACTCAGTTCTGTCAGTTCTGTGAGGGCTGTGAGAGTTCAGTTCTGTGGGAGTTGGGTCTCTGTTCAGTTCTGTGAGCCGGGAAGATCCTGACATGACAACAGAGCTCTTCCGAGTTTCATGGGATTATAACATCTTCACTGAGGTGAGCTGTGGCGGACAGAATCTCGCCGCTACTCCGGACGAGTAACAGCATCCTACGGAGACGCTGAAAGGGTGCGTTAAACGGAATCTCGCCTGAGACATCTCCAGGTAAAAGAGTCGATTTCACCACCTAAGTGTACTGTAAGGAAGAAGCTGAAGAAAGCCCGGAGAGTGCCGTTCTGTTCAACACTCCCTCAAACCCCATCTTTTACTCTTCTTTAAACTTCTTTCCCATCTTTAAACTCCTCTCTCAAGTAGAAATTCTTCCAGATATTTAGAAATGTCTGTGTAAAGTGCTCATCCACCGCCGTGTGGGTAAAAGATCATAATTGTACAGTTTTCATAAATGTCTGTGGTGAAGCAACGGAAAAATCATGGCCGTATGATTTTTCCTGATTGATTGCTTATGTTGTTATTTTCATAATTTGCCAAATTAATGTAAATGTTCGATGTTAAACTTTGATTCTGTAAATAAATGACCGCATTCATTTTGATGGGTCAAAGATAAATGACGTCTCACGTTTGCATTTCATTAAATTCAATGCACGTTTTATTCAGTCCAGAAAAATGAGGAATCCGTGTTAATTGATGAATATATCTGAGCATCTGTTCATCTACACGGCTTTTTGGTCCCTCTGCAGCGGCTCTTTCAAGCTTTGACCAAAACTAACATTAAACTGAATTTTATTGGTTGCTTTACCAACAAAAACAAAGCTAGTTTTAGCCATTTTAATTTTTTAGCTTTTTGGTCATTTCTTATGCGAATATGCCTTTACTAGAACTAATACAATGAATAAAATACTCACTTTAACTTTATACTTTATTTCTATACTTATTTTTTCAGCAATTAAAAAAATTAAATAAGTCTGAGAATCTTCACCAGCAATAGGTCTGCATATTTCATAGTTTGTTTAAATAAATAAAAATTGGTAAAAAAAATACAATTTATTCTTTTTTTTCCCTTCTTTACAAGAATCTGATCTTTTCTTTTGTTTTAAATTGTAAAAATATCAATAAATTTTAAAATTAATTAGATATTTTTAGTTTTATAATATGTGGCCCTTATTGGAAAAAAAAACCCTCCAACAAATCTAAAGCGGTCCACGGGCCACCACTTGCTAATCACAGTTGCAGCAGGTTGTTGCGGCTCTGGATACATTTAATTTAGTGAATGAAGGTGCAAAAATAGCTCTTTTGATCATAAAGGTTGCAGACCCCTGTACTAATAACTAAAAGAACATGTTAAACAGCTAGACAAAATGAAAAACAATTAAAATAAATTTTACCCATAATCCCTCACTGATGTCATGTGACCAAGTCAACCATAGCAGAATGCTACATAGCCACAAATATCATATAAACACTAGATCCCTCATCGGCTGCTGAGGCGCAGGAATTTCGGCTGCCATCTTGGAGCGGTCGTCCTTATTTGGTTAAAGCAGAAGATGTCTCAGCACTTCGCAGCTTCTTTCTGTTCTAATCGACGGACTGTTGATGTCCGGTCTCGGGGGATAACTTTTCACAGTAAGATGAACATATTATTGTTAGTACTTTGTGAATATATTATTACTGTACTGTATTTATGTCCACCAGCTGATGTGATGTTCAGTGTAACACGGTGTTCAGCTGCAATGAAGCTGACTGAGATCTGATGACAGGAATATTTTGCTAACAAGCATACTCACTGTTTCTGTAGTTTTGGTTCATTATCAACAGATATTCATCAAAACTGGAGTTTTGTTTAAGTTCTAGAAAATTAAAACATTAAAACTGGGGAGAATATAAGAAATAGAAAATAAGATTGACTTCCTCTGTACAATATCCTGATGCATGCTCAATAATCCAGGTAGAAAAATCTAAAAAAGTTAAATCTGGTCCTCTGGACATTCAAAAAAA